CATGCGCAGTACTGCTCCCTCTCAAAAGACTCTCGTACTGTGTGCTTTTTGGTCACCGAAACAACTTGCTGCAATTGATGGTTTGGAGGTCAAGAGAAGTGAAACAGCTCAGAAACTACGACGTGTTTCAGTCAGTTACCGTTGGGTTGTAACACGATCTAGCGGTACTCACAGTGTTGGTATTCACACTGAGTCATTGATTTGCAAACCTCTCACCTAAATAAATTATTATTCCTTGCACATCTCCGCAAATCGCTAAGTTTAGTACGTCATTTGGAAGATAAGAGAATGTAGATTCATTTCTAGGCGATGATTTGGAGGTCAAATGACGTTAGTTAGGCCCTAAATTATGGCGTGTTTCACTCACCTTTGGGTTCAAATTAACGGGACTGGAACCGACATTGAATTCGTAATTACACTCTCATTTCTTTGCAAACGGCCGGTATAAACATAGCGGTTAGAATCGAGATTAGAAAGCTCAGAATAAAAGAGAATTGTCTATAAGCGATGAATATTTTAGAGATCAAGCGACGTTCAGAGGGCCAAAAATTCAGCCGGGAGGCTCTGTGTAAATATATATACTCGTGACACTGCATGTGCCAACTTCTCGCTTGATCGTTAAGGAACTGTAGATGTAACTCCAAGCGACGAATTAGAAGTCAAGAGCCGCCAAACTGAACAAACATTTTAGCCAGTTCCACTCAGTTAAAGCAAGCCGCCGGTTTGAAGTGCGATTCTAGAGTACACCGGAAAACATTTGAGTCGCTGTAAATTTCGTTTTCTTGAACTGTATTTCTACCAAAATGAATCATTTGAAGACTGGGAAGAATTATGAAGTGGTTAAATGTAGATATCCTCTGATGTCCTCTTTGCCAAACGATGTTGGACTGCTTTTTTGAGGTATATATTCGCTTTCTCCCGCTCCCGGAACGATGGCCGCCGTGACCAGACATAGTAAACCAAAACAAATGACTCCAGCTTGGCACAAGCAACCCCGAATATTGTAGAAAAACCAAAGAAAAATATACTTGAAATCCTGTTTTAGCTAAATATTAGACTTTACTACCGAACTGGGGGAAGAGAACTTTGATAATCAAGGATAAGTGACAGCAATGCAAATCTCCCGCGAGACTTGAAAAAACTTGCCAGCTTTTCAAGTTGAGATAGCGCCACTACGCATGTGCAAGATCCGTGACACTGTTCCTTAAATGCGATATGCAAACGATATCCGTTGCTATAAACAACAAGTAACGCAACAAGAAAAATCGCCTCGTGAACTCGGGTCAGCATTTGACCCGGTCCCAAATCTGTGCGATTCATCATAAATATATCCTGCAAATCGATCTTCAGGGAGCAATTGTGGAGTGAGGATTACTTTTCAGTGGTTAGGAAAGTAAGCTGTTTAGACGATAAGGTCTGGAGACATTATTTGATACTGATCAATTTATTGCATTAGAGATACTGGACCTCAGGCCGGTCTCGAAGAAAAAATATCTTACAGATTGGTCTTGGCGCTGAAATATTTCAGGAAGCCAGCCCAGTATGGAGATGCACCGGGATTGTTGCAGGAAACTATCACAAAGATCACATTCAAAAGCGAATACACAACAAGTTTCACGGGCGAGTGTGTCCCACTACAGAATGTCCGAATTCCTGCAGCACTCCAGATGAAGAGTGCGTGGGACGAAACACAGAAGACCAAGCTGAAGTTGTCTGTCAATTCACTCCCAATTCGCCATCTGCCAATTCGACCGGCTGAAACTGTCTGCCAATTCGAATTAAAATTC